CACCAGAAACCCCCAGATTGAGCTTGATTATTAAAATCTTCACTTGAGCAGCACCTCTTTCCAGCAATCATATTCAACCATCATTAGATTTTCTGAACTTCAGAGCAGTATTTTTCAGTAACTGACACAACAGTACAGATACCCGTTATAGACAGTTTTGTTTGTTACTATGTAATCAAGTTTCTTCATAGCTGGGAAGTATCCCACATGAACTTCAAATATAGTCCCATGTAATATGTCATTTTCAAAGTCCTCTGTACAATATTTATGATGATGTTGACATATTATAATGCTCTCCCATAGACCTAAATAATGGCAGACCATATGTTGCACTGATATATTTTTTTTTTTTTGATTGATACTTCAAGTAATCCACACAGATGATAACAAGTCACCACAGATATAGAAGTAGTCCATTATTAAAAATGAGTACAATAGTAGCAGTTATAGCATACAACCTTGTCAATAAATAACACTATGTAATCGAGGACACTATTTGTATCAATCACAACAATATTTCATATAAGGAGGCACGCTGTAGCGTAGTTGGTTGAGGGGCTATGCTACAAGTCCCGGTGAGGTCATTGGATCTTTTTCAGTTAACCTAATCCTTCAAGCCACACTATGGCCCTGGGGTTGACTCAGCCTCTTAACAGAAATGAGTACCAGGAACTAATTAAATTATTTTCCTGGGGAGTAAAGCGTGGCCGGCGCATAAGGCTGACAACCTTACCACCATCTTTGAGCTGATTGTCTAGATAATGTGGGAGCCTCAACGTCCCTCAATCCTATGGGCCTTCATGGCCTGGTACAGGGATAGCTTTACTTTACTTTTATACTTAAACATACTAACACAAAAATAATATACAAAGAAATAACACAGCTGTAAATAGGTAATATAAAGAACAATTACACTAGGTATGATCCATAATTATGCTGACCATTCAAGGTATTCTTTTACTGAATAAAAGGATTCCTTTAAGAAAAAGTTTTATTAACTAATTTGAATTTTTTAACATCAAATAACACAATGTCATGCAGTAAATGATTGAAAATTTCTGTACCCATATAATAGGCACCCTTTTTGCATTTGGTCAAATTTACTGATGGTATGTGTAAATTAGTACTTTGTCGTGTATTTATAGTATTGTAGTATGTATTTCATTATTAATTACAAATCGGTGTATATTTATTACTACCAATAACAATAAAGAAAACATATATTGTGAATAAAAGGGCAGTCTATTTAGGCGCCTAAAAAGTCCCCAACAAGATATTTTAGGATTCACATTCATAATGTTTCTTATAATTCTTTTTTATACTATAAAAACATTTTTACTATTAGTTGCATTTCCCCTAAAGGCAACACCATACGTGATAATGGAATGAACACAAGCAAAATATACAATTTTTAAGTCTATAGTTAAAAACAATTTAAGAGATCTAATAACAAAACAAGTAGAATGTAATTTAATAATCACTTTATTTATATGCTCTTACCAAGATAATGTCGAGTCAAAAGTCACACCTAAAAAATCTGTGTAACGAGTGCTATTTATTTATTTATTTATTTNAAACATACTAACACAAAAATAATATACAAAGAAATAACACAGCTGTAAATAGGTAATATAAAGAACAATTACACTAGGTATGAGCCATAATTATGCTGACCATTCAAGGTATTCTTTTACTGAATAAAATGATTCCTTTAAGAAAAAGTTTTATTAACTAATTTGAATTTTTTGACATCAAATAACAGTTCCCTTATGTCATGCGGTAAATGATTGAAAATTTCTGTACCCATATAATAGGCACCCTTTTTGCATTTGGTCAAATTTACTGATGGTATGTGTAAATTAGTACTTTGTCGTGTATTTATAGTATTTTAATATGTATTTCATTATTAATTACAAATCGGTGTATATTTATTACTACCAATAACAATAAAGAAAACATATATTGTGAATAAAAGGGCAGTCTATTTAGGCGCCTAAAAAGTCCCCAACAAGATATTTTAGGATTCACATTCATAATGTTTCTTATAATTCTTTTTTATACTATAAAAACATTTTTACTATTAGTCGCATTTCCCCTAAAGGCAACACCATACGTGATAATGGAATGAACACAAGCAAAATATACAATTTTTAAGTCTATAGTTAAAAACAATTTAAGAGATCTAATAACAAAACAAGTAGAATGTAATTTAGTTATCACTTTATTTATATGCTCTTACCAAGATAATGTCGAGTCAAAAGTCACACCTAAAAAATCTGTGTAACGAGTGCTATTTATTTATTTATTTATTTATATACTTTATTGGAGAATTATTGAGTAGACTATTTCTCGTTTTGAAATACATAAATACATTTTATTAAAGTTCACAGTCAATGAATTAGCTTGAAACCAACCTATTATCTTCCCAAGAACATTATTGAGATTTTTTAAGCTGCATAAAATCTGAAGTGGTTAGTATTAAGCTAATATCGTCCACAAATAGAGTAGGTTTTGATATATCACTTATTAAGGCTGGTAAGTCATTTATATAAAAAAACAGCGGTCCAAGAATCGATCCTTGAGGAACTCCCAATCTAAATTGTTTCCAGTGTGAGAAGCATTTAATAGATGATTTATCTCTTATTACTACTCTTTGGTATCTATTATTTAAATAAGAGGCAATCAATTTAAAAAATGTTCCTTGTACACCATAAAAATCCAGCTTTGTCAGTAATAATTCATGATTTACGCTATTAAATACCTTGGTCAGCTCACAAAAGATTTTTTGTGATTTTTTATCATTAAATGCCTGCAATGTATTATTAATTGAAATTTCTGTGACAATGCGGCACTGTGTATGTGCTCACACTCCCATACCTTATATGTCAAATCAAGACTCTTGGAGAAGTCTCTAATTTCACACATTCATCATCAGGTACCAACTTTCTAAAAAAATGTATGCACAGTGAAAATGCTGTTTCTGCCTTGTGTCTGCACAACTTACATCAGCAGGCAGCACAATCATGTGTATTTGTGCTTGATTCATTTATGGACATAGTGCTAATTGCATGTATAATGCATGCTCCTTTACAAACCCAAATTAAATTCTGTTTCAATTATAACCTGGCTGCAGAGAAAATTCTTATACCTGTGGTTAAACTGGGACTCCAACTACAGGATGGAAATTTATCTATAATAATTTTTTAAGAAAGACCACATTGTTTGTAACAGCTGCAAAAAAGACTGCCTGAACGTATACATATGTGTGATAAGGTAACAACTTGAGAAGCCCCTAACACATGGCATAGGACTTTTTTCTGAGAACAATGCTCTCTTTGATGATCATGTTTTTTAAGTCTCATTTTAAGCTTATTTTCAGAATGAAAATGATAAAGATGTCTAAACATTGCCACAGCGGCATTCAGCATACTGTAAACTATGCAACACTGGTGAATTCCTATTTGTTAGTGCAGTTTCCTTTGTCCCAAAAATATATGCCTTTAATTCTTGTGTCTGTTATACAAATATGTTCGCATAGCAACAGTCATATTGGTGCTATACATTGTAGAGTCATTAAGTTCGTGGACTGTGGTTTGATCGCATTATATTACAAGTTATTCACCTACACTTACACAGATCCACATCGGCCCTCAAAATAGTTGCCATTGGCCGCTACGCAAGTCTGCCAACATAGATATAGCTGCTGAAAACATTGCTGAAACATATTGGCAGGAAATTCCCGTACGTTGTCTCTTGTGGCATTGACAACCTCCTCGGATGATTGAAATCTACGATCACGTAGTTTTGCTCTCAAGTGGTGAAAGAGAAAAAAATTGCATGGTGTGAGATCAGGTGAGCACAGAGGGTGTGGCAAAATGGTGACTTGTTGCCTTGCCAGTTCCTCTTGGACAAGAACAGAGCGATTTGCATGGGCGTTGTCGTGTAGCAACAGCCAATTATTCATATGCCAAACGTTTCGCTAAGGGATTTTCCTAGTTTTTGACAGAACTTGATGTTTGTCCGTTCTTCAAACTGCCACACTTTCGATTTCTGCCACTTGCATTTAACTGCAATTCACAATAGAGACCGTATTTCTACTTACACTGTTTGCACACATCTTCCTCTTGCTGTGACGAGAGATGAACTGATAGGGCATAATATTGTGCCTCAACCTATCCATTTTAGTGCACTGCAACACTGGTTTGAGGCCAGTCCACGAACTTATTGACTATGATAGTATATATGCTATATTGAGGCCTTAGAAAATAGTTCCATGGATTCACACTCCATGTCTTCTTTGAGCTACTACACTTCCTCTTACATTGTATTTCCTAATATTTTTCTCCAATTGTCTACCATTTTGCTCACTTTAATGTTGGTAAAGATAGCCTTGGCTAGTGACAAGCACTCTGGGCAGGTAGAACTTGGGCCACAATTGGCTGGAGAGGAATAGAATAGGCATGTGAAAGTCAGGTTTTATATACTGAATCGAGGCAAAATGTTTCAGTCTCAGTTCAGCCCTTAATAGTGTCAGTCTGTAAATGTCAAGAATTTTCAAATAACTGCTTCTGCTTTGTGTACTTGCATGCTAGGTTTTGATCAGTTAGAATTGTGACAGCTGGTAACACTAGAGCGGCTCAACTTATCAACAGAATCTGTCTCTCTCCCACATTGTATCTTTTCATATTTCTGTATGTTATCATCAGCATCTGATATCAAAATGGTTAGGAAGTACACATTAGTGTATTCAGAAGGAGTGGCCAATGTTATGAATTGTGATTACAATGAAAAAATTGGTCAGATGAAGAAAATTCTTGTCTTATTTCTCGAAGCTTTTCCAAATTCTGGCCATGCATGAGAAGCTATTCACCCATATTCCTAGAATAGGAAGGTTCACAGATTGGAAAGTTTTCAGCATCATCATCCATGGGAGTTCTTCCCATGGCCTCAGTGTAGCTGCATACATATATTTGTTTATGAAATGTGCATTTCTATTTCAGTGACCCTGATGTTGCTGACAACAGTTTGGGAGGTTTAGAGGATCATATTCATAAATAACGAATCAAAATAAGGAATATAAACAAGTAATGTGTTCATATGTGGGATTTCCACAGTAGATACCAAGTTCCATGTGAATTACGAAACCACAGAATGGAGGAAGAGGCAGAACAATTTCTGTTTTGTCAGTTAATAGATGGAAATTTCTTCTCCACAGTCTGAACTTGTATTCATGGTGTCCATACTAGTTTTATGATGTCCCATTATGTTTTTATATATATTCGTGTGTATCTTTTTCAACCAAGTACTTTTTATATGTGACTCATAGTTTATTTTTTACATTAGATACCTAATAACATACTTACAACTTGTAAAAATCAGTAGTCATCATTATTATCATCATATCATCAGAGGGCTTTGAGACTGAAACTTGTTAGAACCTGGCACCACATACTTGGTTCTTCTGTTATCAGAGCAGTCTCTAGTAATTATGAGTCCTGTACACGCCCTCAGTGTTATGCATTTAACTAACTTCTGTTAAACAGGTCTAGATATGTATACCTCACAGACACAGGAATGAAAAAGCGATTTTTGCTCATGGTGAAGTACAATACATTTTTTTGGGCAACGTGTAAAGGCTCCTATAACCACAGCAAAAGAATAAAATATGAAGCAGTAGATGTGACGATTTTGAAAGATGTGTCGCTCTTTTGTTTATGTAGTCTGCTTTGAGTATTGGTGCCTTTAGGACAAAATATTTGACTGCCGGAGCCCTGAATGCAATTCCTCCTATCATTACATTTGTATGTTAGAAATGACATATAAAATGTGAATTTACTGCCAATGTGTTCTGGTCTCCAATTTTGTATGTATATTTTTTATTTTGGTTGAAGAGGTACACACAGGTGCTATAAAATATAGTTATTTGTGTGCCATAACTATGTTTCCTTATAATGAGTTCATGCTGCCATGTTTTTCCCTTTCTGCCAGAGGTGTTTGACTTAAGTTGTAGTGTGCACTGTACACTAAACTAGTGGGTTGTATGTAAGTTTTTATTATTCTGTGCAATTTTGTATTCAGAAGGTAATGAATGCAGTAGCTGGATTTTTAGTGTCTGTTTTCATCTGCTCATTACTCAGTACTCTATGAGATGTGTGCAGACATGCATCCATTCCATTGTAGGTCATTGAACGTTATTGAGGAACCCTCAGAAAAAGAAGTACTGCCTGGATCCGTATTTTTCTCAGAACATTTCTTAACCTCACCTTAGGAGCTGAGGAATGAGTGTGAAGAACAGCACTACCAGTCCAGCTCATCTCTTTTTCTAAGCATTGAAACTGTATATAGTTTCTATAATATAAGCCTTGGATTTTCATAACTAATACATTTGAGAACAAAGCATACAAAGATGGGGCAGTTGTAGTTTAGGAATCAAAAGTGAACTGTGTAATTTTGTGAAGTAAATAACATGCAAGTGTAATTTGAATCTCCAGGGCAAGTAGTGTAACATTTACATAATTTTTGTATGCTGTGACTCATAATGTTATGTAATATGATATGTAATCAGTATGTATCTTTCCTTCTTTTTAAATATGCTATTTTATGTAAAAAAATGTTTCCTTTTATTGGAAATGATGACTAATAACTTAAAAACGTTGAAGACAATAAACTGGACAATGATCTGTCAAAACCATTTGAAAATTTATTTGTTCAGATTTCTTGCCTCCTTAGACAATGGTGACCAGGCAGTCATTACATTGTCAGGACATTCACAGATAAGTGTGCTAATAATGCTTTTGGGACAGCAAATTTGCCTCAGTTCTAAATTACAGTTCTATATATTCACATCAAGAGTGCTTCAGAATAGGTTGCTGAGAATATCTGGACCTAACAGGGATCAAATGAAAGGAGATGAGAAAACTGCATCATGAGGAAGAGCTTTATAATTTGTACTTATTGCAAAATATTAAAATGAAGTAAAGGAGGGTTACCTGGAAGGACATGCAGCAGATACAGGAGTGGAGAGGTTGAGCTGGAAGGGACATGCAGCACATATGGGAGTGGAGCAGAGTGCAAACAAGGTTTGGGCAGGAATGCCAGAAGGAAATAGACTACTAAGAAGACCTAGATGTATATGGGAGGATAATAGTGAGTTAAATGTGGTGGGTGGGTGTTCACTGGATTCATCTGGCTCAGAATAGGGACCAGTGGCAGGCTGTTGTGAAAACAGTAACACACATCTGAACATGAACTCATTGAAATGAGACTGATGAAGCTTATCACATGCATTCAATTTTATCCTGAAGATGCTAGAAATTCGTTTGCAATACCAGGGTTTAAATATTGGATATGGTATAATTTTTTGGGGTCCCTTGAGGTGAGGGAGGAATGAATTTGCGGTATTTTAATTTGAATTTATACAGGTTGACACCACAGGATATGTAAAGGTCAAGTACAAATACATAATATCTGTAGAACGATAGTTTTAGAAAAGTTAATAAGATTGCAATACAGTAGTAGCCACCTTTCATACCGATTGGCCTACGACTTCCAATAGCTCCAATAGTTTCGTAGCACTACTATTTTTGATCACAGATGGCAGTTTAGTAAGTAGCCAACCCAGATTGTTAAATTGTACATCTGGATAATATTCTCGGTGGTTTCTCAGTTTACACGCTTCTCTGACATTTCGTGAACGGCATGAAAGGGTATGTCTGGTATGTCCGTCAAAAGTGGAATATGGCACATTTAGCCCGAAAGATGCAAATGGTTTAAAAATATTTTATATTTTCATATTTTACAGTGAGACAAACGTACTTTCAATCGACTTCTTAAAGGCGCATTATTTCAAAACTTATACCAGGTAATTAATATTATTGAATGCGATACTAGTTTTGTTTTGATAATTGCACGGCTTTTGTGGTGCTACTGTTTATTTTGAATATGCAATGGAACGATTATTTAAGCCATCGGCCTGAAAGCTGTTATGTTTATATGTGATTTAAGGATGTACAAATAAAAGCTAATATTACGATGTATGGATTAAATACCAATTGTTCAGCAGGTCTGGTGACAGGGAAAACGTGCGGGATATTTTTTTGTAAATATCAATGTAAAAGTCAAATCAAACATAACCTAACTGTTGGAGTCCAATAAACGTAACATCCAAGGTGTTTTGGTGCTAGACTCTTACTCTATATTTCGGTGGCGAAATATTATTGCCAAGGATACAATTTTGAACAAATTAAAAAAATAGTGCATTATTATAGCAGAACCTTTGCACCATAATGGCATGCAGTATATTCTTTAAAACAAAAACAGATAAATTAATGTGAATTGTAAAAGGTTAATTAATTCCGTCCAGTGTGACCAAAGGATGAAAGATTAAAAAGAAAGCCCATCAGTCACACTGGACGGAATTAATTAACCTTTTGTAATATTGTTAGTGTGATGGACCAGAATGATACAAATCAAACCTAATGTGAATTGTTTCCATAATGAGAAACTTTCGTCTCCAATGTAATAAATTATTGCTGATAGGGACCCTTGTTGGAAAGAATGCCATCACTTAATGTTTGTCACATAAGAGAGGTTCCTAAAATTGCTATGTATCTGATTGATGGCACTCTGCTGAAATTTGACCCAACTAAGACCACTCAGAGAATCTCATAGCTACCATGAACACAATTAAGAGGTTCAAAATATTGAGATGTGGGAAGCTTATGGCCTTCTGAGATATGCTGTTGTGTATTTTGATAGGTAGGTACAAATATTTTGGAACCTGTTGCCCCTATCTTCACTCTGAAAAGGAAGTCTGATACCTATTTACAGAACTCCAAAGTTCAAATCCCAGAAGGTTATAAACATCACGTTCACATCCATGGGAACCTCATATCTCACATAAGATGTGGGTTACCTGAAAATATTTTTTTAACATGGGTAAAATACCTTGTTTTTTGTTTGTTGGATTGGTTCAGATGTAGTGTTCCAAAGACAACCTGTGACTTGAGCCATTTGGTTCAGGCAGGCCAGTAGGACAGCATCTACACATGTGGGGTGAGTTCCAGTGTAACCCACCAAACAGTACATCACGAAACAGGCCATCAGTTTGGGAAGAAACAACACATGTGCGACAGCTGTGGCAGGACTTCCTCATTCCATTAGGTCCCTCGAGGGACAGCATGGCTGACAAACCCTCGCCATGTGTCATGTGCATGAAGGGCACACAGACCACCACTGCTGCATTACTTCGTCACAGTCATGTGCATTCTACAGACAGACCGTTCAGTTGTGATGTGTGTGGGAAGGGTTTCACCCAAGCAGCTCACCTGACCCGACACACACGGGTTCATACAGGGGAGAAACCTTTTTCATGTGGAGTATGTGGTAAGAGCTTCTCACAATCAGGTGACCTGACGAGGCATACGAGGGTGCACACTGGTGAGAAGCCTTACTCTTGTACAGTCTGCCTGAAGAGGTTCTCACAGTCTGGGGACTTGAGTCGACACACACGGCGTGCTCATCCTGGTGAAAATCCTTTTTCATGTACAGTATGTTTGAAAAGTTTCTCGCAGTCTGGTGGTTTGACTCGTCACACAAGAGTGCATGCTGTGACAAATAGAGTGACTTCCACAACATGTGAGGATGTGTCACAACCCAACAGTTTCTCTTGTCAGGCACGTCTCAATATAGACCAGAGACAGTTCTTCACTGATATCAGCAAACAGTTTCCACATCCCCCAAGTTTGCCCTGACAAAATGGAATTGTGCCCTGTTCATTGTGTGCTTCCCCCTCACACTTGATCTGTCACAGGGACATACTCGCTGGAAAGTTTCTTTCCTAAGCCCCAGTTTGGTGAACACAGTCTATGCAGTTGGCAGTAAATTGAACTTGGGCTTTCAGCCTCATGCGTGGGTCATTTTCATGGGGTCTTTGGATGAACATAAGATATTTATTACATTATTTATGTGTGTGTGTTCTGAAAATTCCCATGAATTTTTATTTTGGTGCAACTTTGTTGTATAAGGAAATAAAATAAACCCCTGCTAATCTGGAGTAATTTGGAGAGGGTCATCAGATTAAGTGATAATCCCGATTAGTGAAGCAAATGATAGCCCTGAAAGACAAAAATTTAATGATATAAATAGTGTTGATGAAAATCAACAAAAGAAAAATTGATGCAAAGCAATTATTAAAAACCATAAAGAGACATTATGTTTATTTGTTGATAGAAGACTAAGAAGTTGTACTTATTTTTAAACGTAATAATGCAGGTTTGAAGAAACTGTCAGGTTTTGTCCGAATAAACAAACCTTCCAAAATGCCATGTGTCTTTTAAAGTGTGTACTAACGATGAATAGCATTTTACATATTTTCTTAAGTTGGACTTGAGGTTCTCACAACAGTGACTGACGAGAAGAGTGTTCTAGGTTGTAACACTATGTAGTTCAGAGAGCACCAAACATTCTTGAGGAATCACCTCTATCTTCACGTCAAAGGTAAGCCAAGCAAGAAACTAGCGTGAAGCAGGTATCAAGTTCAGCTTGAAGATGGAGGTGATACATTACTCCGAAATAGTGGGTTATCTCTGAACTACACAATATTACAAACCAGAAGACCAGACCCTCCGTGGTGTGTTACAATTATAAAACTATTAAAATTCTTAAGAAACTGTGAAATTTGAAGATCAAAATTTTCTTACAAGATGTTGGTAATGTAGTTCATCTGTGCCTGTCTCCAAGCAATCTGTGGCTGGCTGTCAGATGATCTCTGTGTATTAGGGCAGTAAGATGGGTGTGAAATTCTTATATGTTTGTGTTTGCACTAAATTGTAAGAGTTCCACCTTCATCTTACTATCCAAATACACTGAGATTATCTGAGAACCAGCAACAAATTGGTCAGCCACTCAGACATAAGAGGTACACTGCTGACATCATGTTCCGACTCGTGGCACAATCGACACTTCCGTAGCCTATACTCCTATGTGTTCAGCACATATTTTTGGCACCTCCTTTAAGTTTACCTTTTCCTTAAAAAAAATTGTTTTCACTTGAGGGTTTAAAACCTTGGACTCCTCTGCAAGGTATCAGAGCATTTTGAAAGTGAGTGTTCAATCCTAGCACTAATTTCTTACAGTTTCTTTTTCGTGAGCACCCATTGTTTTGATTTGGTTCTTTGGATTCCAATATTGATACTGTCCACATCATACATGAGCTATCATTGTTTCAGTGTAGCTAACACATGGCATTTCAACACAAAGCAATGCGGAGGACTGAATGTTCAGTACAGTAGCATGTTGGTATTGTAATCACCACACATAAGCTCACTTCATGGTCACTGATCAACAATTTATTGTGGTAATATTGCAGGGTAATTGTTATGTGTAGCATGCCACAAGTCCAGTTATTAGGAGAGCATGACTCATGTGCCTGAATGACTGACAAATTTGTAGCAGGCTCACTGTATAAAATGCTTTTGTCTTTTAATGGTGTGAGATTAATTTAATACAGAATGCTTCAAAATTGATCTTGTAATTTTGCAATTATTGCAAATAAGTTTTATTTCAAGGACACAGTGTATTTGATTTTCTTGCATGATGAAATAGGGCTCGGACAAAGCGTTTGTTAAGAATTTGTATGATATATGTAATATAAATTTTAATGTCTTACGTTCAGTAGAACCTCCTGAAAATGACTTAAGTGACTGAAACGTGTTAGGCTGAAAGACATTGTATGTTGTATTGTATTTGAAGGTTATTACGTGTACAAATATTAAATGATAATACAGTGGTCTGGATGCAAGTGTAACAAACTGGGTCTGTTCTCTGGTACAAGACCAGTGTCTGTACCACTATAGCACTAAATAGATATCAAATAATGTATGCAGCGAATATCATTTTCATTTCTTGTGTGTTGACACCATGTTTCGGTACCTGTTCAGTATAAGGTGACTGTCATTAAGGCTTGTCTTTATGTTATTAGTCCAGAAACATTTCCTTAAAAAGGACGTCTTGTTTCTAAATTCTGATTTCAAAGGGACTACTCATACTTCCAGATTAACCAGTAACACCAAATTAATCCTCTGACCTGTATATGTGAGGATTTATGTCTGCTGTTTGTTATTTCACTGTGAAGACAGAGGTTCTGGTGTCATTGCCCAAAAAATGGAAACACAAGTCACAGCAAACTACCATGAAGCCACTGGGTTTGATAGTGGTGATTGCAGTGAGGTGAGATAAACCACAAGCAGCAAATGTTGAGAGGTGCAAATTAATGTTGTGTCTGAAGTTTAGCTTTTTGTACTGTTGGTAGTCTTTCAGATAGTGAGTTTGCTGTCCTTGAGGAGGTAATGGTTACACAGCTAGACAGAAACTTTTCTTGCCTTTTGTAGACCTGGAAGGTTCATTTTTCATGAAGCCTACTAACAGACTCTGTTCCACGCAAAATAAATGCAGTCTGTATCCTCACATCCATTTTGGTATTCCATGTAATGTAACATATACTTTTCCTACATAAGATTGTGTCATTTTATTGCTTGAAAGGAAGACACAGAATGTGGTCCATACCTAAAGACCTGACAAGAGCTTCTACAGTGTCAGAAACCTGAAAGCTTGAAGTACTGTTTTTTTTTATATGGTGATATTTTATAAGAATTCTAACTTACATCTCCAAGTAAGTGGGATGATGAGTTCTGTCAAGAGGAATATATATTGTAGTACAGATGTATCTGTCTAAATTGGAATTGATGTTGAGATGGTTTGATACCTTCAGCGGCATTCTGGAATGATTGAATGTGATGCTGCTCATCCCATATCTATTGTTATGCAGAGGGACATACTCGTACAGTCACTTGCAGTTATAGAGCATGAGGTATTTCTGGTAGTAATCAGCATACTGCATATCAGGTGTGAAGGTTGAAATCTTTGTCTCTTGAGATAAGGTGCCATGTTTTCAAAGTAAGAAGCTAATGCACTGCCATGAGTGAAAATTGCCCTTGACCTTCAAATATACAGATGTACTAGTTGCATGGAGTTTTGATGCTTATGTACATTAATCACATTAAGAGATATTAATACTGCATAGAATTTTTTTTCCTGCTAGTTAATTAGATATATACCATACTGAAAAATAACAGAAACAAATTGTAGATCTTAATGAGATGTGTTATTATTTATATATTGCAGTGGATCCATTTTAAGAAGTTTCCCAAGGTACTCTTCATAATCACTGCTGTGAGAACCTCAAATTCTAGAAGACAGGCACACTTCTTAAGCAGGAAAATATAAAAAAAAAGGGTGGACTTCAGAATGTTTATAGAATTAATTATGTCCTTTGTAGAAAACTAATGAAGAAACGTTATATTTTTACACTGAATAAATGACTACAAGCACACATAATACATAGGTTTTCAGGTATATGCTATATGTTTTGCTGTCACAGTCGCAGAGTCTGTTGTGAAATGCTATTCTTTCTTGAAGAACATACCTACCTACCTATTGTTTCAGGGAAGAAGACCTACACCAATCTATAGAAATTATTTGTGTCACTTGTATTTTAAAGAATTTGAACATTTACACTTCCCAGAGTTTTCTGACAGTTGACTCTGGTATGTCAGTAAATGGTGACCATGCCGGTGTAATAGCAACAGTATTTTTCAGTTTTTTATTGCCATTGTTCTCTCCAAACATGTTAGGAACTCCATGAACAGTGGACAAGTTAGACAAGTTATCAGTGCACCACTGTTATGTCTCTACATACATGGCAAGAACTTCATATGCTTGAAGCACTTTGGCTTCTCTGATCTTCCAATTGCCAGCAGTATTACACCTTTTCAGAAACAGCTATTTCTGCACATAACAAGCACAGAAATCCTACCTTTACTCTTGCCTCCATGACAGGTTTAATTTTTGAAAGTCTCCCCCACCCAGGAGTAGGCTGGAAGACAACCTCCACTGAAAATAAACAAACTCCGTGGTTTTAGTCTGCAAGCGAACTATACCAACCGAGTGACCGCTGCTTGTTGGTGAAGTTATTGTCACCTGTAGCAGATAGAAACGTTAGTGTGGTCAGTGCAATGAATTCCCATGACTGTTAATTTTGGTTTTACCTGCATTAAATATATCCTTTAAGCACAGTAGATCACTGTAGGTGGTGGTGCAAGGGCCGAGAAGGCCCACCCCTTATACATTCACTCAGAAGTGATGGAAAAACACCTGTCTTCCTGGCACCTGATTTCCTTTTCACTTACACCTTTGGATTCCATGTTCATGGTTCTGTAGCTAAACTATGCATACTTTGTGAGTCAGTCAAGCCATCCATTAGGAAGTGTGAATTTATTCAGCCTTCTGTCATAATATTGGACCTTGGATTGGTATACATAATCCCTGTTTATGCCAAAACTACTCCAGGAACACTGATTCAGGTTTCTCATGTTTATAAGTTTTTAACTTGTTTCTGCTGAGATGAGTAGTTGCACATTGCTGAGTTGTATTTTTCATATATTATATTCATATATTATTCATTATAAGATAAGCAGCAACACACACAGAGAGAGTCTACACAGAACAATACCTGAACAGCGATAAAACAAGAAGTGGCCGCTGCAGCACTATAGACATAGGGCGTGTACCCCGAGAAAATTTTAATTTTTAAAAATTTGGAAAAAAAAAAACAGAAAATTTATAGACATTTTAATTTGAATTGCAGTTTTAAAAAAGTGCCAATTTTGGAAATCAAATTGACGCGTGTAGGTTAACAAAGATTTTATACATACATACAATTGGAAAAACTGGTGATTTTAAATTTTAAACTACGGGCAGTGTAGCAGTTACGTAAGAATACACACCTGATGATGGCCATTTAGGGCCGAAACATGTAGTGTGGAGGAAGGGAAGAAGAAAGAACTACAATTAAATTGTTGCACTTAAGACGGAGTTTGTCTCATATATATTGTATTTTTCATGTTTGACATAATATTATTTAGCATTGACACTGGTATGCTAAGTTCTTCTGTAAACTTTGTGCATGTCACATATGGTTCAGCATCCACTTTCTGAATGGTCTCCAGTTTCTCTGAAACTGATAGAGCCTTGTTTTCATAGCCATGCATAAAATATATATAATAAAGAAGTCACTTTACTTTTATGCAAATTCATGAAATTCAGCTGAAGTGTTCTTGCACACAAAGACCATGCTATGCTACCAGCTAGATGGATGGAGAATGTTATAAAGTCCTTGCTGGTTTTGCCTAAGTTCTACCATTCACTGAGTGCTACTGAGTGCTACATCACATTTTCTTTATGTGAACATCTGCTTTGTTTCTCATTTGTTTCTGTATACTCATAATGTAATCCAACCAAAATTTATTAAGTAGCTAATATGTTTAATACATACGTATCTTTAAATAGCTCTTGGGCAGAATATCTGTTTATGTGGGAAATGTTCTAACAAATGTAGGTGGATAATTCTTATAGTATTACTTTTGGGATCCAAATGATTGTAACTTTTCAGGCAGGATCCTATTAAGTGGGGTCAACTGTGTGTACAGTAATCACCATGCTCAGTTGTTTTCATAATGAACCATCTTTGATAGACTGTATACTGGTTACTTTGTATTTTATGCAAAGTATGTGGAGGTTACAGTGCACACATACAGACAGTTTAATTAGCCAGAGAACTTTGAGATCTTCTATACCAAGTTTATCAAAATTTGTAAAGAGATTTAGAAATATGGACAGATCGACATCCCTGTTACTTGTTCCATTTATGCACTGAGTGCAAATAACTCTCAGTGTGTTTTCTCACATCTGGTTCATACCTTTGTTTTAGCCAATCTGCTGAATAGACATTTCACAGCATTTTGTGTTTGCTGTTGAGCGTACCCAGTGTACTGACTAGTATGTTGATGTGTATCATGAATCCCCTTTGAGAATGCTGGCTGTCTCTCCTTCAGAAAGCAGTCCATTGCTGTATGCCTTTTTTCTTCAAATAAGTTTTAAAGATACATTACATAACATGCCATATCATTGAACTTTGTGGTTGAGTATTTAATATGTATGCTTCATAGTCAAGAGATCCTTGCTTCAGTTCACAGCTCTTGGAGTAGCTATAGTTTTTAAAATATGCCACAGTCTCTTCCTTACACATCCTATCCAATTCATCGTCCTGACATTCAATAGTTCATAAGCTTTGCAGATTAAAATGAGCTAATAAACCATAAATCAGCTTCCATGAATTTGCTGGGTGAAATTCCTGGATGCTTTGTGTTTGGTATCTGTAATATGAGGTCCATGCACCATAACATTCAGTAAGTGAAATGTAATGCAGTTGCTTCAGGTATTTGGTGACAAATTTCCTAACTTCTTAAATTACTGTAAATGCTATAGGGGAAGACATTACACTATGAAGCTCCTTATTTATATTTTTTGTACCTCTTTACATGCAGTGGTACATCAGTATATGTTACATTCAGATATTCTCTGCACTTTGAACAGTGTCAGTCTGTGTCTTCCCGCAGTGCAAAAGAAGATGAACGATTCTCTTTAATGATATCTTAGGAAAACATGTACTAACATAAGACATGTATCTCATTAAGAAACATAATTTAACTTGAAACATTAACATTTATTAAGTTTATGTATGTGTAATGGAGTACAGTAAACAAACTAATTTTTATATTGTGTAAAGTAAGATTCTGATCGACCATATGAATAAAGTTAAGGTGAATCTCCTTCCCTTACCAGATTTGATCAAAGTCTGTCAAGTGGGCTTAGAGTTGAAGTTTTCATGTTAATGGAATTAACTTTATGCAACTTATAACATATACTGCCTCTCAGATTCTTCAAGCCACACAGTGAACCTAAGAATTGCTATGATTAAAAATTATACAGTTTCATGATCCAATTCTATGAATACTTTGTGATAGTTCAGGTTTTAATTGCATTACATTTTTGTGATAAAGTGTTTAAAATTTTTAAGTGTTTGTTATTGTTAATACATGAAAATGTGCCTCATACAAGATTTATAGGCATGTGTCCACAAAAATTTCACGTGTTTAGTTCCAGTTTGTCATTTATTATCATCATCTGACTTTATCAAAAAATAACAGATCTTGCATGATTGTCATGGCTATTTACATTATATTGAAATTACCTTCACAGTAGATGAATCCTTTTTTAAGATCACTTACCACAGAAAGCTTCAGACTTCATTAAATAGTGCTAGTATTGTCTTATTTCAGCACTTCACATAGTCATCATGTTAGTACTGGTGGTAAGCGGCCTCCATAGTCTAGAGGTAACGTTCCCACCTTATGACTCGTGGTACGCGGGTTCAAACCCGGCAGAGGTCGTGGAATTTTTAAGGGCGGAAAAATTCAGGGAACAAGTCCTCCGGGAGGGACTTTAAGCCGTGGGTCCTGTGTCGTAGCTTTACGGCACGTAAAAGAACCTCATATCTCCAAAGGAGGTCACTGAGCTAAATTCAATTCTAACGCCTCTGATAGATGGGGGAAGCATTATAGATACCGCCAAGCCAGTAGAGGCCGAACTCGCTGGCTCAGTCGGGACTGATGGCACGCACCACTATCGGTAGGGTATAGAGACTGGTAGAATATCATAAAGGGAAGCACAATGGACCAATCCTGGTCTCAGTGCATGGGGAAACCCACCCTCTCCAATAACTAACTAACTAACTAGTACTGGTGGTAGGAAATTAAAAAGTAGAAAGCTGAGATGGCCTTTGGTGGTGTGGTGTCCATACAATGTGTTGCAAAAATGTTCCACAGAATTTATTGTATAGGGTGGGGGACGTGTAGATACTACAAACCTATCTATCATTCCTTACAAAGTAAGTAAAATAGTCTTAAATTATGCAGCAAGAATGATGTTATTGGAGTAGTTAATTTGTTATGGTTGAAACATCCATGTTATTTTGCAGATAGAAACATGACAGACCCTGTTTGGTGCATTTGGGAAAAAATGAGCTAGCTGTAGAAATGTGATATAGTTGAATGTGCTGGTTACCACAATATAGGTAGCCCATTTTCTATGCTAAAATAATCTCATGATTGTTTCAGATATTGTATTGAAGATGTGTCAGTCATATCCTATGACTAGATGATGATGATGTCATGACCAGATTTTTTTTAGCCTACTTTATTTTCAAAGAATAGTTGTAGGCATATGAGATCATCTTGCTGCATGGGTATCCCACCCTCTGGAACAACTTTTAAAGTTATGAATGCCTGTACACATCTTCATGAAACTTGGCATGTATATCATGCCACCTGAGGCTATATCAATGGCAGACTTCATAAATTCCTCCCATCAGTAATCAGCCTCTCACATTATTGAGTTCATAACCTTACCATTCCTTGAATGCCTGAACGTGTTAAAATTTTTTCCAGTTATATCAGGTACTCAAATTATACTCGAGCACCTTGAAAGCCAAGCGGCTGCCCATAAGGGAGGAGGTATTCTGTCCCATGGTCGAGAAAGATGACAGAAGGGACTGGAATGCAATATTGGCACGAGAAACCGAGGCACAAGATGGCAGTTACATCTGAGGAAAGAGAGGACATTCCGGCAGGATCTTCAGGAAGACCGTAGACCTGGAGACTGAAAAGCGAATGCTTGCGTCTTCGACTGGCTAATATAAATGGGTGACTGGACATTGTGAAGGGGTTGGACTCCTCTGAAACAAAAGAAGATACATCCAAAGCACAGCCCTCAGAACAAAGATGATGGTGGTACACTTGGACTGGCCCACACCTTGACAGGGAACTGCTTGGAAAGAGCGGCCTTAAGGAGGGAGCAATTGGAGAATAATCACGAGAACTGAGCTACAGGGAAGGAAGGCAAGGCCGATCACAGATGTCACAAGCACAACCATCGGAAAAGAATAAATGGTGGAATAGCCTTAAGGAGGGTGTAACTTGGCATGTAGACACGTTGCTAGACAACGACCTCGAAATAAGCCACTATATAACGGCCGTTGCTAGGTAACGGCTCCGCAAACAAGTATGTTTTTCATGGCAAGAAGATACAACTGAATAATGGAAGAGGTGTTTTCTACGTAGTCCATACCAAGCTGTGATACATGACAGAGACAGGAATAACGCGACATTATCCGCAAAAGTTGGCATAAAATTCGCCGACAAGCGGCGATGGCTCGGTCGGTATAGTTCGCTTGCGGACTAAAATCAAGGAGTTTGTTTTTGTAAGCGTAAGTATGAAAAACGTCCATGAACTTTTTTATTTATGACATCAATAGACCCTACAAATTTTAGCGCGTTATATCCATCATAATACGAGGGTAAAATATCTTAGTTATTTTATTTTCGAAAACCATTTTTCTGTGACAGCCATGCAGCATTTGCCGGCTTCAAGTCTTTTTCTGGCCCGTTGGAACTATATCTGTAATCCGTGGGGATGATCTTTGCGATCTTTGCGTCTTTGCTAACCGCTGACGGTAATTAATGATGGCGTTCTATTAGTTGTGTGTCGAGTCTAGCCACGCATATTTTTAGCTTTTGACGCAGGTAGCTGTTGTTAATTCCCTTAATTTGCTCCGCTCCATAAATTTTTATGTTTTAGAACCAGACACGTATTCAATAGACATGAATTAAGACTGCTTCACAGAGTTCACATCGAGATTTAATGTTAACCTCATTTATGGTTCTCTTAACGTTTTCTCTGCGTAATAAGGAGAGGTAGGTATGCATACATATTTATATACATATAACGAGCAGCAATGTAAGTAAGTGCCCTATTCTATTTATTTTTTGTTAACAGCTATCCATGAGTTCCCAGCAGAGTCCTGCCAACCTACAGTCGTCGGTAGACCGTGACAAGATATATCAGTGGATTATAGAACTCTCCAACCCCGAAACCAGAGAAAATGCACTGCTTGAACTCAGGTATTCTGTGGTTTGCATTTACAATTATTGGAGCATGCTTTCGAGCACTCGCACTTCTCTTATTTTGTGTTAACTAGTTATTTACCTGTTGACTACTACTCACATGCTATTCCGGGCTTATAGTAGATAATTTATGTGAGGCCAGGATCACTTTCTTCATTTTCTTTTAATTCATTATTTATTAATCACTAGACACTGCATAATCTGAATATTTGAAAGTATTATTATATTGATATAATGCAGGCTATCCAATCCCCAAATTGAGATTTGTTGAAGGAGTATAAAGTTTTGTCCATATAATTGTGTTAACTCTGCCAGTGTAATTACAAGTGCCCTTCACTCAGCAGCAAACTATATGATCACAGTGTGAACAAAGTAGCATCGTATCGTGAAAATATGCCTATTGAAATGAAAGTCTGATGGAAAACAAAGTGACAATTAATAACCAAAAACTGAAATTCATACTTCACAGTAAAGTTGTAGGTCATAGAATATGTCCATGTGGACATATGGATTATTGTGTGATGCAACTGTGTAGTAAAATTTTATTGCATGCAAGTGTGTTCCTGATTAAGTTCTATTTCAGTGCATTAGGTTGTTAGTGTATTTTACATTGGGAGGAACAGTGCCAGAGGTAGAGGTTGTGGCTTCACTCTCTCAAGGTTGCACAGCTGCTGCACAGTGCGGCTTGTTTACGCACAAATCAGTCCTGGTTATATTTGAACCACCTTGTACAAAACTAATTTTGCCTGTGGTTTTGGATGGATGTGAAACTTGGTCACTGACATTAAGGGAAGAACACAGACTGAGAGTGTTTGAGAACAGTGTGTTGAGGATAATTTTGGACTGAAGAGAGATGAAGTGACAGGAGGTTGGAGAACCTGCATAATGAAGAGCTTCATAACTTCTACTCTTCTCAAAGTATAATTAGAATGATCAAGTCATGAAGGATGAGGTGGGCAGGGCATGTAGCACGAATGGTGGAGACAAGGAATGCGTATAGGATATTGGTGGGAAAGCAGAAGGTAAGAGACCACTGGGAAGACCAAGGCATAGGTGGGTGGACAATTTTAAAATGGATCTTAGAGAGAGAACGGATGGGATGGTATGGTTTGGATTGATCTGGCTCAGGATAGGGACCAGTGGAGTGCTCTTGTGAACATGGTAATGAACCTTCAGGTTCCATAAAATGCTGGGAAATTCTTGACTAGCTGCAGATTTGGTGGCTCCTCCAGAAGAGCTCAGCTCCATGAGTAAGTAAGCAGGCTGCGCCATAGCTGAAGCGGTTAGTCGCTGGCTTCCCATTGCGCCAGCCTGGGTTCGATCCCGGGTCTGGTCAAGTGACATTTGTGGTGTACAAAGTGGTGCTGGGGCAGGTTTTCTCTGAGTACTTCGGGTTCCCCTGCCAATCTTCATTCCACCAATTGCTCCACAATCACCCTCACCGATCATCTGGGGCTGGTGCAATAGGCCAGAAGTGGCCGCAGTACAAGGGACTTAGTCCCATCCTACTTACTTACTTACTTACTCATGGAACTGAGCCCTTCTGGAGGAGCCACCAAATCTGCAGCTACTCAAGAATTTCCCAGCATTTTATGTACATTCAAGAACTGAGAGAAATAGTTCCTCCACCTATTCAAAATGTTATGGGAATCTGCAAGCAGATCGCCATTCTCATCCTTCACTAAATTAGTGCTAGGCTGGTAACCCCTCTTAAAGTCATTTATTCCTCTATACAAGTCTCTAATATATATGAATTATAAGCAAAAGCTGTTACACTGTAATGCAAATATAAATTTAAACAAAATTTGCTTGAGGAAAGAACTCATACCAAAATACGTGCACATGAAATTATACAGAAATAATGAAGCAGCTAGGTAAAGACAAACACAAGCTTAAACATTATGTATCACTCACTCATGGTGCTGAGCCCTTCTTGAGAAGCCGCCAGTTGTGCCGCTACTCAAAACATTACATATAAGGAACAAAATAAAATTCTTGTAGAAAAAGATGCAGCAACCAAACACACAGCTCTACGACACCCACATATGCAATGCAGACACATGGCAGTAGACACGGGCCAACGTTGAGCTAACCATAAACAGAAATTACAAGAAGAAATGGAACAAGTACACTTAACAAAAGAAAAAAAAAAGTTGTATTTTGGATGGAGGTGTAGTTTGTGAATGACACTTGATGTATGATGCAGTTCAGTAAATTTAACAAACTAAAAGTAGACTACAGCTGTGTCTGCCAACAAAGCAGTTGATATTTTGGTTAGGTATTAGTAATTCATTCTGCACTGTGCTTGCAGTAAGAAGCGAGAGGTTGTGCCTGACTTGGCACCCATGCTGTGGCATTCGTTTGGTACTATAGCAGCTCTCCTTCAGGAGATTGTCAACATCTACCCTGCAATCAATCCAGCCACCCTGACAGCGCACCAGTCGAATCGTGTCTGTAATGCTCTGGCTCTTCTTCAGTGTGTTGCATCACATCCCGAGACCCGATCTGCATTTCTGCAAGCCCATGTTCCTCTCTTCCTCTACCCATTTCTGCACACTGTCAGCAAGACTCGGCCATTTGAATATCTCAGGCTGACCAGTCTTGGTGTGATAGGTGCACTTGTCAAGGTAAGTGATTGCTGGAACCTTTCATAGCAAATCAGTAGGAAGCAAAGATGATTGCATGATGAGAAACTTTATGATTTCCTTACCTTTGCAGACTGTTTGACTCTTTAGTGCTGTAGGACATTTAGACACTACTCACTTCTGGGAATGGAAGATGATGAAATATTAAAATTTTTATCTGCATCATGTTACTTCAGTTGCAATAAATCTGTAAGAAAATAATCTTTCTTCTTTTAATTTTCACACTGCAAAGGTGATTCAGAAAGTTTCTGCATTTATTTTTATCTCCACAGTCAAATTTAGTATGTAAAGTGACATGTGTAATACTTTGTACACTGTCTCCCTGCTTCTTAGTGCACTTGTCTGGCAGTCCGAAAGCTTACTGATGACGTCAGAAAGAAAGATTTTTGGGCTGAATGTGAAGCACTGTTTCCTTTGTATCATCAGCTGCCTCTGAGAGCCCCATTAAGAGGTTACAACAGATGAAAATCTAGAGTTGCAAGGTCTTGAGTGTGTGCTGGATGGTTGAGAACTTCAGATTCCAGTCCTCAAAGTATTTCCCTAGTGTGTGTAGCAGCACGAGGTCGAGCATTATCATGCAAGGCAACAATACCTTCTGACTGTCTTTCCTACTTTTGTGTGAATGACATCCAGATCTCATTGCCATTGATGACGCTGTTATGTTATGAAATGACCCTATCTGTTATACACACACACACACACACACACACACACA